AAATTATGGCCAAAAAATGTTTTTAACCATTTTCAAAATTGGCTTAAAACTGTAAAGAATTGGTATACAAAAAAGTATCACAATTGTTCAGGCTTTCCAATGCCATATCATTTGCTGCCTTCCGACAAACCATTTAGAAAAAAAACTGAAAATACGAACTCGGAGTAACTTCGACCATTTTCTAAATAACTTTTAAACCCTTCAAAATTAAGAAAAACGTTTTATATGTAAAAGAAGTGCATTTTCATAAGCTTTCCAGTGCCATATCATTTGCATCAATCCAAGTTGCCGTTTTCAAGTTACGCGTAAAAAATGAGCTCGGCTGTTTTGTTTGAGAAAATTCGTCATTTTTCAAATTACTCGTTAACCGTATGAAATTGGAAAAAAAATATGTGAAATAAGAGGATTTGCAGCAACTTTTCAATGCCGTATCATTTGCCTCATTCCGATAAACGGTTTAGAAATAGACTCGAAAATGCGTTTCATGTTTTTTTGTATGAAGAAAAACGGTTTGCCAAATTGATTTTAAACTGTGTTGATTTTGTAAAAACTTAAACGTAGGTTGTGATCCACATGTCCATAGCTTTCCAATGGTATATCGGAAGACCCATTTGGACAATGTTCGCGGAAGTTCAACCTCTTCTTGGGTGAAGTTGAACTACTACTGCTGTGACGGGTCGGGTAGTTATCATAATATTATTCTGATCCCGTGATCAAAATAATGTTTATATATATAATAGAAAATGGGTTAGTACTCCTTAGTCTGGAGAAAAAAGGGTACACTGCAAGCCCTTTTAACATACTTTATTTAACATATGTAGCCAATTCACATGAGGTAAAAACATTTAATATTCAATAGCAATTAATTAGGTTAGTTAAGTTTATGCCCTAAAAGAACTTATATTAGTTAACAGGAATGACTAATAGCATGGTTGGAAATTAAGCATTTTTCTGGTCAAATTACATATAAAATTATTTTAATCTGAGTAACGGTTGCAACACGATCATTTTAACATATTTTGTGTAAATAATAAAGACCAGGTACCTAAACGGACTGAAAACAGAGTGAACTAGACCTACTAACACGAAATACTGACCAGCGCCCGGGTGGCACAACAATGGCTACAGAAGTTGGGCCGAAGCCCAACAAATAAAGAGAACAGAGAGGGATTTAATACTGGACCGTGGGTTATTTTTTTAAGATGCGTCCAACGGGATATAAATATTCTAGTATGTTAGTTTGTGATTTACCATAATATGCGATTGTGTAAATAAATGTTCATCAGATTTTGTCTGTGATTTACCTTATATTTTGGTCAGAATTGATTTAACTGCCCATAGTATGTGATTTTGTAAATAAATGTTCATTAAATGTACTTCTGATTATCTTTTTATATATCAAAATTTGGTAAGTAAATAAAAGTGAAATTGATTCAGAAGGTACATACACTAAAGTGATTAATTATTATACGGGGAAGGTTCGAGGAAGGGGTGATGGGAAGAAAGATGAATCGGGAATTTTTAATTAGTATAATAATATAGAGATTTCACATAATTCTGTCTTTAACCTCCAAAAAAAGAAAAGTATCTGTCTTCTAATTGGATGTATCTCTCATTGTATAGAAAAAGAAAAGTATCTCTCTTGATTGGGTGTATTCTTTTCTTTCCTAGCCTAAATGATTTACTTGCCACTAATGAGGTGATTTAGTCAAGGTTAATTTCCTTCTAAATTATGTATAATTATGTGCATTGTTCATCGTGATCAAAATAATACACCTTACATACAACCAAAGGAATGGAGGGAGTATAATATGATACACTCCAATTTTTTGATATAATTTTAGCGTATGCTACTACTACTCCCTCCTCGTGCATAATAGTCCCTCCAGTTTTTTATGTAAGGTGTATTATTTTTAGGACGATGATCAAGGCATAAAATTATACAAAATTAACCTTCGTTAAATCATTGATTAGTGACAAATAAATCATTTAGGCTAGTAAAGTAAGAGATACACACAATCAGGAGAGAGGTATTTTTTTTTCTTTATAAGGAGAGATACATGCAATCAAAGGAGAGACACTTTCCTTTTTCTAGAGGGCTAAAATCAGATTTTGAGGAATTAGAAAAAATGCACCTTATATTATGAAATTTTATAAAAGAAATAAATACACCTTATAAAGGAACGGAGGGAGTGCACCAGTATGAGGAGTGGAGGGAGTAATAAAAGATCGAGACGCTTGACGATCTAGTACTAGTAGAAAACATCGGGAAACCCCCTCCCCGTGTCGATCCAACCACCCCAAGGGCCGCCACTCCCACCGTACCGCGGCAATGCCGACGCCGCGAAACCGGAAGGTCCCTGCCCCTGCCCCGCCGCGCCGGCCGCCTCCCCGCCTGGAGTACCGCGCAAAGGACGGCGCGTGGTACGGCGCGCGCATGGCGCTGCAGGGCGACTCGCTGCGCGTCATGTTCGAGGAATTCCGCGAGGAGTTCGACGAGTGGCACGACCCAGACGCGGGCGACCTCGCCTCCCCGGGCGACGTGGCCGCGCTCCGCGCCAGGTTCCGCCCGGCGAGCCCGCCCCTCGAGGACGCCCGCTGCGGCGACCTCCGCCGCGGCCAGCCGCTCTGCGTCCTCCGCGCCATGCCCGACGGCGAGCGCAAGTACTACGACGCCGTCCTCGATTCCGTACGCTCTTCGCGCTGCGCCGTCCTCACTTCCTTCTTTCCTCACGCATGTATGTTATGCTTTATCAGCAAGCGCCGACCGAATACGCAGGTGAAAAGAGCGGCTCACGTCACCGTGGGCGGCGAGGAGCGGTGCGCGTGCCGCTTCACGGTGCGGTGGACGGACGGGCCGTTCCGCGGCGGCTTCGACGAAGTCGGCGTCGACGAGGTCTGCTGCGTGCGGGACTCGCCGGTCAACGACCCGGTGCTGAGCGAGTTCCTGGACCGCGTGACGAGGTCGTTCGGCTTCTGCGACGGCGAGGAGAACGCGAAGGCGGCGCAGGACTCGCCGGTCCAGGACCCGCGGCTGAACGGGTTCCTGGACCGCGTGACGAAGTCCTTCGGCTTCTGCAACGGCGAGGAGAAACCGAAGGCGGCGGCGTCTCAGGGTACCGGGGCCACGCCGGCCCCGGGCAGCGAGCAGAGCGCGACGGCGGCGCCTCAGGCGAGCGGGGCCACGTCGCTCTGGGGCGGCGAGGGGGGGACTGCCTTCATAATCATCGACTAGGTGTCGCGGCCTGCACTGCATTCCTGCGCTTCTGTTTCGATGTATCCATGTGCCTGCCCTGCTCGACGATTGGTGAGGGTATTTTGTGCCTTTGCGTTGCTTCATTCAGTTACTGTCTTTGTCTTCCATGTTTCGTGTCTCAAGTCTAATCTTGTTCGGCCCCAAAATGGACGCCATCGTTGGTAGTACTGTACTTGGTAGTCGGTACGATTATGTATCTCTGTTCATGTTGCCATCTTTCCCTGGAACCTGAAAGCCATATTATTGAACTGAGCCAAATTTTATTCTGTATACCTGAAAACCAAAATAGCATCCACCAAGCGTTTAAATAACAGCGCTCAAAACATGGTGATGCTACCTAGTGCAAAGTAGAACAAGATTACATTAGACCTAATGTTTATGCATTGAACCCCTCCCCCCAAGGTTGATGAAACCTTGATATTCATCAAACGTGGATGAGGATGCGTTCCGCGTCAGTTAGTTAGCTCCAGCGGGTAATTGCCGAGCCAGCAGACAGTACGAGCCTGTAGCCTACGAACAGTAGCAATAACCCAAGTTTTGGTTTCTAGGAATTTTCCTAACGCTAACATCCATCTCTCTCCATTGAGCAACACCTTTATCTCTGCAACCTGGGTGCAACCTGGGATAAATAACACGAGAGGTGAACATCCACGGACTGAATCATCGAGACTCCTCAAGAGGTATCAGTTTAAGGGTCATCTGCACAGATCGTACCAAGGTTCAGCACACAGCTGTAACGACCGCCAGGGCACCACCACGGTGATCACGCACTAATCATACCAGTGTCCACTGTGCCATCAGCCGCCTGGAAGGGGCCGTCGACGTTGAGATTAACGTGATCTTCTGGCGGTGGCACCCGCATCTACTTCCTCGTGAGTTTAGGTCCAAGGGCGGTGGCGCCCTTCGATATGTATCAGCTTAGCACCTTCTTTGTCAAAATCTGCATGTAGAAATTGCTCAATGATCGGTAGCAAATCCACATAGCTGGCTAGGAACTTCTTGGATCCTTCGACGGTCAGCAGAGCGATTCAGTAACCTGATGTTTTTCCATCATCAAGGCTTCTCTTACAGTTGCAGTTGCAGGACAAATGTGTGGGCTTCAGAACCAACCCACATATGGCTTCCAAACCATACAAGGGTACACCATGTACAAGTTTGTACTACTACAAATTTACTCATGAGGGCAGTTTGGATAAGTCAGACTACCCTTGCGCCTGGCAGGAGCTTAAAAGTCTGAAGAATGAAATTGTTCATAACATAGTATTGGCTCCAACAAATCAAAGTATGCTGGCTAAAGGTCTCCTCTTTTTTGGAGACAGTATAAAGGTCTCCTTATGAGCCATTAATCATCCCTTTCCATTTTTAAACAAGACCAAGCAAAGAAAACTATCACAGGTATATCACACAAACATAAATAATGCAAACAAGAAATGCAAAGAAAATGTAGAAAAAGGAAACCCCATAACATATTAATTTAGTCATGCTATTGGCTGAATGTCGGTCAAGTAGCACAACAAGCATGTCATCTACACAAAATGAAATGTTTCGCCTGGGTACTACCCTTGTGCTACACAGCAAGCATGGCATGGCGTCCTATGAAGAGTAATAACGTTAAGAGTTTCCCTAGAAGCACCATGACACAGTAAAAAAACCTAATATAGTCGCTTTCGGCAGTCAGAGGTGCCACAGTAGCAAGCTAACTTGGAGTTTCCCATGAAAAGCACTATGGCACCTGTCAAAGAACCTAATAGAGCCACTTTCGGCAGTCAGAGGCACCACAATGGCAAGCTAACTTGACAACATTGCCATCTGGATCAATGACACTGTCCATTCCATACCCGTAGTCATACGAGAGTTCCTGCAACAAGTACAGTCAAGTCAGCAAGCCATAGGCAGGTGAAGCAGCAGGAAGATAAAAGGTCATGTGCCCTCACTTGTACAATTGATATAATTGATTATGTTTCAATATCTACTACGTAATATTTAACTTAACAGCAGTTTACAAAACCAATTCATAAAATACATATCACCTTAGTATGGGTGCATGCATCTATGATCCATAGGCCGGGGGTAAAAAAAAGAAGAAGCTTCCATTATCTAAAAAAACATAACGCCTTAGAATGTGTATGATCGAATTTTCTCACTTTGATCTCTATAGTGTATCTAGAAATTTCAGGGTCGGCAGTATTAAAATGATGCTGTAGATTTTTCACCAAATATTTGTTGACGTTGAAACGAATTTATTTCATAATTTCTGTAAACATATTTGACAAAAGCAGTGGCCATGTTCATCTTTTCAGTGCTATTCATGAAACATCTATCTTCTTAAACACAGGTAACAGCTTACTAGTAATACAAATATGGGCAAAGAGCAGTTCAATTGTCTTAAGATGATCTACCACAAACATGGTTGAGGAGCAATGTAACATGGAAAATGAATGAATTACTAAATGAAAATAGATAAGTACCACAAATAACTGAAAATAAAGCTTGAGTGATTCTGATTCAACTATCTCACCGAGTTTTAAAGTAACACAAGTTTACCTTTCTGGGAGTTGGTGCTACTCTTAGACATCTTTGTGTTTATCAGATATATCAATTCATCAATATAATAGGGTTAGTGCTACTTAGGATGACCAGGCAAAAAGTAAAACGTAACATGGGAAAATGAATAAATTACTAACTAATCAACACATTAAGATTAACAGGTCAAATAACTGAACAATAGAGCTTCAATAGTTATGATTCAACTATCACTGAATTTCATGGTTAACATCTTACAGAGTTAATTTTTCCTTGAAAAAAAATCAAGTTTTAGTCACAAAAACTCACCTGAAGAGGTGGTATGGTATCAGCTGCAACAAGCATGATTTTTGCTAGCTTGATATCTCTATGTGAGCTCAATACGCACTGGATGAAAAGGTTCGGTTGGCAGCTATGATTTATGAACCTCGCAATGTTGCCAATGGAACCAGCATCAATGCAATACTCTGGGGCTTGAGAAGCCTCCAAGTCATGCTCGTCTTGAAGAGATGCCATATGCAGTTCTGAGCCAGACCTTTGCTGTAGAAAAATAACGAGCAAATATCATGGTAATGATGTGTTAATACACAATATATGACATTGTGGAAAGGGAAGAAAATGACAACTTCAGGTGGAGGAAATTATAGTAGATCATTTTACAGGATATGCTGCTCCATCTGTTCCAACAAAATCTAGGCCGATTACTAGCTCTAGAAAGATGAACAAATCATGATATCATGATATCACTTTACTAGTCAAAGACAATCATGATATCACTTTCACTTTCCCATTCTAACAGAGAACAATTGTATTGAGAACTAGAAGTAGTGCATCACAGTAATATATCCTTGGTTTTATTATGGTAAGTTGGTAACTTGGAGAAATAGCATCAAATCGAGGCATCGGGCATACAACAGTTCAGCTCCAAAGTTGAAACCAGCAAACGGAAGAGAATAATGCATTACCTTCCTCCCATCCAGGCCTTTAATGGTCTGAAGACAGTCTATATCAAATATGTAGTTGTTGTCCAGCAAACCTTCAACTTCAGCGTTTCTCCTCAGTACCCCAGTGTATTCACAGATGAGTGCCCCAGGAAGAATAGTGTCCCACGTTCTTACACTCCAACCTTTTAACTCAGTCTTGAACACCTGAATTTACATTTTGATTCGTTAATCTACAAGGCAATGTAATATACTCTGTCCGGTTGTGTATATAAGTCAGGCATGAAATTTTAGGTCTTTAACTTGACTAACATAACATATCTAATATGCCAAAAAAGATATTTTGAAACTTCACTCGACGACGAATCTGAAGATATATTTTTTGTGGGCATATAACAAAAGTTTTGCTAGTCAAATTAAAGACCTGAAAACCCTTGCTCCACTTATAAACCTGACTGGAGGAAGTAAGGATATAACACATAAAAGAAAATAAGAGACTAAGAAAAGTAGTACCTCTAGGCGGTATTGCAATCCTTGCTGGGATGTTCTATTTACACAGCTGCAGTGGCAGCTACAATTAGCACCACACTCAAACACAACTGCTTTGGGCTCCACCAACCTAAAGATTACACAACCGATTAAAGAAGAGCTGCAGCCCAAGAACAATGAGTACATGATCAACATTTTTTTTCGTTCCCTGAAAACTTGATGCGCCATTGCCACTTCACATCGTAGGCAAATATTACCATAAACATGTTTTTTGACATTACATTATGCTAAAAGCCCAATGATCTTCAACGCAAAATGTTACCTTCCAACATTCTTATGTGTAGAATCCAGATGCTTAGCACGCACTTTCTTTTGTGTGGACACATATGGTAGATCAGAGCCATTGCGATCAGCACACAAACAGTGTGTAGAGCTAGAACAATCTCCTTTGCAATTGCAACCCATACTGTCAGCTGGCATCTTGATATATTCTGGAATCTGCAGTGACTTAGAGTACACAAAGCCTACAAAAGGCATGATGCAGATAAAATCATTATAGTGTGTGCGCTCAATATTTGTGAAAAGCGAGAAACTCAAGCAATACAAGTAACACATGTCAAAAAAGAACAGAACAAGCAAGCATCTGGCATAAACAGAAAATTAGCGGCCAAAATCACATATGATAAAAACAGGTAAAACGATGGACAGGAGAGCTAGTTAAAGGGAATAAATAGAAGTTTGTAGCATACCAGATGGAGGAACAGGAGGATCATCAACTAAATTTGTAGCAGGAATTGGAATGTTCTCCTGCCCATAAGAGATGTCCCGACAAACCAACCTATTGAACAAACTCAAAGACAAATAGTAAGAGCCGGAGGGAAAAGACAAAAGAGTATGAATACTGAGGATAAATCAATATGGTCAGTGCTCAAATAACGAACCCAGGTAATTCAGAAATTGGCATGTGAACATCTCCACGATTAAACAGCACCTGCACATATATGTGTTTATAAGAAGCTAAAAGGTAAAGAAATACTAAATAAAGCATCAGGGTCAAAGAAAATTAAGTGGAATGAAAATCACTTCTCAAACATAGGATTTGAAACATGAGTACAATAGGCTGTCAGTCAAGAGAGTCGATATTATGATATTTATAAAGGGTAAGAAATTTAATAGAGGGGGACTGCATCTTCAGACTCCTAACCAACATCAAGTACTAGGAAATTGCTGGATAACTGAACTGAAAGATCCAAGCACAAGAAGTTCTTCTGTGAGAAAAATACACAGTAAAGAAAAGGCACAAACTACATATGTGATTAAGGATTCTAAGAACGCATGTGATCCCGGATTGTAAGAACAATAGCAGTAAAAAAATGGTACCTCCTGTTTCCTAGATCGTTTCCAAGTTCACAGCGGTTTCCCAGTCAACTTGGTTATTTTCCAGTTTTCTTTACTTTTTTTTTGCATAATTTTTTGTTTCATACACATTTGACAACTCTTTGACGAAGATTCCAAATGGTTCAGCCAAAATCGAGCCACAACTGAACATCTGATTACAGCCATGATCTTGGAACCTAGTTCAGTCAATAATAATACTATACTAGATTGAAATGTTGATACAAGTGCTCTTATAATGCAAAAAGAAGAATAAAGAGATATCGAAAACAAGAAGATAAGGGGCTGAAATCAGCTTGAGCTTGTAAACTCTACCCTGGAAGTTGTCAAAGGTGGTTGACCTTCAAGACGCTTCAATCTGAATTTGAAAACCAAATGCCCGCGCACTCCTTTCTCTGACAAGCAATCCACTACCTATGTAACATTTGTAGTCATAAAATAAGTTACTCAAGATGCAACCATGAGACATGTTCAAGTTTCAGAAGCAGTAAAGATAAGACATATAACAGGAGGCAAGATCACTGCAACTATCGCTGATGGAATACTTCAATTTGCTTCAGACTAGAGCCTTAAGTTAATGGAAGAAATATTTGAATAGATATACAAATGCTCCCTCCGTCTGGAATTAACTGTCGCTGAAATGAGTGTATCTACACACTGAAACGCGTCTACACTCATTTCTGCGCCAGTTAATTCCAGACGGAGGTTATATTTGATAATAAGATCACACTAGGTGACTCTTCGGCAAAATAAAAATATCACACTAAGTCGCTAGTTTGGATGATTAGTTCAAAACTATCAGTCTACATACACTTGGTACCAAACAGATATTTGATATTAAGATGATCTAGGAGATAAAAACCTTGTACAATCCATCATAGGTGTACACTTTTCCAGTGTAGCTGTTCTTTTCTATATGCCCACGAATAACCCGTATAGGGTTGCCATTATCCTTGCTATTCTGCACAATATTAAATTATGTCACTCGAGAGCCAGCAGCAAAGGTTAATCAATACGAAGAACAAAAACTATGAGAAGTACTACCTCTGTCCCAAAATATAAGACGAACTGCAAAGATGTCTTATATTTTGGGACCGAGGTAGTAGATTACAAAGAGAACTGGTAATTGCAATGGATGCTATTCAACCTTTAATCTATACCAATATAAAAAGACCCAAATGGGCAGATCCAAATCATCTCGACCGTCAAATCATGTTATCTAGCGGTTCAAATCACTCCAATGTTGAGCACCAAACACGTTTGACGCTCTAATTACCCACCACTGCCATTGGTTATAAACACATTTTGACTTAACGCTATCCCTTGAAATCTGTCATGTAATTAATATCCTACCATTTTCGCGAAAAAGTAATTGATATCTTACCAAATACCAACGTGCAACTAATATCCTACCTAATATAAACGTGCATTGCACGTACATTATTACTAGTAGAAGTAAGAGGCGACTATTAGCATTTGGAAGAGAACTAATTCTTGAGATGGAAAAGGAAGAGCATAAGCTACTCTAAACTTGGTGATGCAATCAATGGCTGTGTGCATCGCAATGATGCAGGCTCGGGATTTCAACCTCCTTTTTGAAAAAAAAAATATTCAACTCGAATAAGATTACAAATAATAGAAAGAAAGAAAGAAAACAAATGTTATATGGGAAGAAGAAAATAATAAGGCTGAGCACATTATAATTGAAGTGTGACTATAGATTATACATACAAGAAAGAATGAAAAACTGAAACAACAAGATAGGTTTTTGCACGATATAAAAATCAAAGGAACCCCGGGAAGTAACCTTCAGTGCCAAGTTTCCCCGAAGCAACGTTTGTTCAGTTTTCTGGTGACCGTTGCCAAGCAAATTGTTCCCTCCTTCGCCAGTGTAAATAATTTCGTCAGCTTTGTCAAAATCATCTTCATATGCCCCCGACATTACAATGCAGGTGGCAAGAGGGAAAATTAAATCTTGATACCCTGGCTGCTTAATCAAGTGATCAACACTACCAAATAAATCATTTTTTCTTATGGAATAGATATATTAACAAATAATATGATCAATAGAGCTTTGCAGATTGTACATCAGAAAAATAAATACAACCAGATATTAACAGCTAGACAAAGTCCTGTGAAATAAAATAATTTAACATGAACTTACTCAAAAAATAGAAAATATTTCTACGATCAAGACATTAAAATGTTTACCCTCTTATGTTGTATATATATAAACAGACAATGACATTATATGAGTGTTCAATGACCTATTTCTATATGGCACACTGTCAAATCATTTCATTGCAATGTGACGTGCAGAACTAGCCATGGACAGGGGTGCGTGGAAGCTTGCTATCCATGTGCCAGAACCGTGAGTTGGTTGCGAGATCTTATGGGTTTCACCTCTAACCTATCCCAACTTGTTTGGGACTAAAGGCTTCGTTGTTGTTGTTGTTGTTGACGTGCATTATATTTCAACTTACATACCATTTAAACAAACGAAACACTCCTGAGTAAATTTTACTCGTAGGCTACTATGGTACTTAACTTGACTTCTATTTCACTTCAGTGCTACATCAGTCAGCTGTATGCTAAAGCGGAAAAAAAAATTGTCGTGTTAATTTCACAATGTGGGGTTGGGCTAGCTTGGGAGGAAGAAGAGAGGAGCCATGCAGCATGTGTTAGGGAGTACTAAGCTACAAATCATTTCTACCGGGTTTTAATCGAGTTTTGTGGGTGACACCATCACTTGGGGTTAAATTGCATTTATTAGTTCACGGCTTAGACGTCAAGGAGCGACGAATTGTCCAAACCTTCTTTTTGGGCATGTAACTAAGAAAAATGGGTGAATTCTGTTTGAGCAACCATTTCCCCGTCTTCTTATGTATTCAATACTGAACTGAAGTTCAATTTTACATCTAGGTCAGGGAACCCTAGACCATGGTGCTTGGTTCGAGTTGAACACTGAACTATGAAATATGTATTATTAAACCTTGAAATTTGTAGAACCGTCTAACTTGTACCCTAGCTTGTTTTTGCATTTTCGTGTTCCCAAAACACATGAATTTTTTGCGAATGTAAGGAATGATACAAAATCATAACCTGCAAAGCTTAATCCAGGAACATTGCTATTTGTGTCCTAGGCAAAAATTACA